CCCCCATTCCCCCATTTGTTTTCTCTCCCTATCAAAAAAAAAAAAATCTTTGTCTAATTCAGGGTCACAGAGATTTTTCTCTTGAACAGGAATCAGCAAACTATAGCCTGCAGACCACATCTGGCCCACAACTTGTTATTGTAAATGTTTTATTGGAAGATAGCCATCCATACCCACTCATTTACATATGTGGCTGCTTTCTGTTTACAGTGACACTTTGGCAGCTACAGAGATTGTATGGCCCAGAAAATATAAAATATTTACTTTACGGCTCCTTTGAAAAGATTGTTGCTGACCCCTGTTCCAGAAGTTTTCTTAGTTTAGCTCTTAATAGTTATGTTTATTACCCAGTTTGAGTTAATTTTTGTATATAGTATGAGGTAAAGGTCTATATGCAGTGGTTCCAGTACTGTTTGTTGAAAACACTATCCTGTTAAGTAATGAGTCATTTTCCGTTTGCTGCTTTTAAGATTTTCTCCTTGTCTTTGGTTTTCCTCAGTTTCATTACAGTGTATCTAGATGGGGATCTCTTTGTGCTTATCATTATTTTGGGTTGTTGAGTCTCTTGGAACTGTCGATCAATGTTTTTCATGAAATTTGGAAAGTTTTCAGCCATTATTTCTTTTAAGTCTTTTACTGTACCTTTTTTGGGACTCTCATTGTATGCATCTAGTGTGTTTGATGTTGTCTACAAGTCTCCAATGTTCTGGTCATTTCCCTTCAATCTTTTTTTTTTTTTCTCTACAGGTTCAATTATTTGTTTTATCTTTAATTTCACTGATTTTTTATGTAATATTGAATCTGCTTTTCAGACCATCTAGTAAATTTTAATTTCATTTGTTGTACTTTTCAACTCTAAAATTTCCATTTGATTCTTTTATTTTTTATTTAAAAATTTTTAATGTTTATTTATTTTTAAGAGAGTGAGAGAGACAGAGCACGAGCAGGGGAGGGGCAGGGAGAGAGAGAGAGAGAGAGAGACACAGAATCTAAAGCAGGCTCTGGGCTCTGAGTTGTCAGCACAAAGCCAGATGCGGGGCTTGAACCCACAAACCAGGAGATCATGACCTGAGCCGAAGTTGGATGCTTAACTGCTTAACCTACTGAGCCACCCAGGTGCCCCCCCTCCTTTTTAATGTTTATTCTTGAGAGAGAGAGAGAGGAGAGAGCATGCGTGTGAGAGAGCGCATAAGTAGGGGAGGGGCAGAGAGAGAGAGAGGGAGACATAAAGTCGGAAGCAGGCTCCAAGCTGTCAGCACAGAGCCCAACGTAGGGCTTGAACCCACGAACCACAATCATGACTGGAGCTGAAGTCGCACACTTAACTGACTGAGCCACTCAGGCTCCCCTCTATTTAATTCTTTTAAATAGCTTGCATTTCTTTGTTGTATTCATTAATTATTTAGTCATTGCCATATTTTAACTTTTTAAAGCATGGTTTCCTTGATGTTTTGAACGTATTTATAGGAATTGTTTTGAAGTCTTTGCTAAATCTGGTCTCACGTGGGTACAGCTTCTATCTATTGGTTACTTTTTCCCCCCCTGATAATGTGTCACATTGTCCTGTTTCTGTGGCTCATAATTTTTTCTTACAACTGGACTTTTTATCTTATAGCAACTTGATTCCAGTTTTAATTTAATTTTTTTAATGTTTATTTATGTTTGAGAGAGATAACGAGAGTGAGCACAAGCAGGGAAAGGGCAGAGAGAGGGAGACACAGAATCTGAAGCAGGCTCCAGGTTCTGAGCTTTCATCACAGAGCCCAACATAGGGCTCTAACTCATGAACTGTGAGATCATGACCTGAGCTGAAATTGGACGCTTAACTGACTGAGCCACCCAGTCACCCCTTGATTCTGGTTTTATTAAAATTTTCTGCAGGTGGTAGTAGTGGTGGTAGTTGTTTCCTTCATTCATTCATTCACTTTTCATTTGTTTGTTTGTTTGTTTGTTTAAGTAACTTGATTGGCTTTATCTACAGAATTTCTCTCTCCCAAAATGTGTGGCTACGGATTTATCTCCTCAACTTTTTAAAAATTCTTATGAACTTTGGCTTTCTAGAGTTCATCTCTGTGTCTGCATTGCTTAGTGCTTAGTAAATGATTGGTTGGAAGTTGTAATTGAACACCTTGAGCCAGTAAGGCTTTTGTCCTCTGCTGGCGGATTGTGTATATTTTGGGGAGTATGTTCAAAATTTGGGCCATTTTCTAGCTTGCCTCCTTTACTTTCTATTGGGTCTTCTCTGGTCTCCCTGTGTATACATGCAGATTTCCAGGCAGCCTAGGATGTGGGAGATGTTGGTTTTTCTCAGGTCTCTAATTTGCCTTGGATATGCTCTTAACCTCCTAATTAGCTGGCATTCTGAGGGGAGCTAGGGACCTTAGGGGTCTCCCCTGTACATTTGTGCTTGCTGCCTTCTAGTCACATGGGGTTTTGTGGAGGGCATCAATCCTTTCCTCAGAATAAATGAATTTATCTGGTCCCTGCGTGGCTCTCTCCTTTCCAGAGTCTCCATGTTAAATTTCTAGGTTTGTGGGTTGCCTCAAGTGGTTCCATAACCTCAGGCTACAAGAGCTGTGGGCTTTTCTGTTTCCTGCTGGGTGTGAGTATTCTGCTCTGTACTCCAAGTCAAAGTGAGCCCCCTTTAGCAGTGAAGCTGCTGATTTTCATAGGCAGCTTCTGCCATGTTGGTGGATTGGGGCAGGGGGATGGAGGCAGCTCCTGGTAAGATGCCAGACTTCCACTGTTCTTCCCAAGATGTTCACTTATTTTACGCTGATAAACTCTTCTTGTTGTGTTTTTTGCCTTGTTGAATTTCTAGAGCCACAAAATGGTTATTTTTGACAGTTTTATCATTGTTTTCTGAGGGCAAGATTTTGTACTCCTTCACTGGGAAAAACCAACTTGACAACTTGTATTCTAGAGCCTAGGAATATTATATTTCAAAGCCAAATACTCATTTTTCTAATTCATGCTTTGTGAGAAGATAGAACAAGTAATTTTTTAAAGAGAAATGATGAAGAAGTAGATACATGGATCTTGATTCAAAGCTTAGATTTCTGAGTAGTTTGAGCCTTTTACCTTCGAATCGACTTGCAAGATGAGACCGAGGTTAATTGAATGGTTTGGTGGCTGTAGGGAATAGTAGATAGGTATTATTTCTTCAGAGTGAGCCAACTACTGTTGATAAACTACTTTTCCTATAGCGTTGCTCACTTCATAATAGTTTAAGAAAATAGATATTGTAATTATGATCATTTGACAGATAAGGTAAAATACATTTTTAGGTTAGTGATTTACCCACCCTCTCAACTTTTATTATATGATGGAGATGGTACTTGTACCTATTTCTTCTGACTTCTTGTTTTTTAATACTCTTATATAACTGCATCCCTACCATGTCATAATTACTTACACTCTTTGATGATCTTAGTTTTTTTTAAATTTATGTAGGTAGTACTTGAAGTTAGAACAATTCATAACAGTCTTCTTGAATTTTTACTAGAGCTCAAATTCTTTTCTTTCAAATGATAATCACTCTTAGCTTACTGAAGAGCCCCTATTCCTTCCTGGAGTTGTAAAGCAAACTGGTGAAAGAATCAGAGAAAGAGATATTCCATGGCAGCTTCCTCTGCCAGCTTCCTCTTTTTTTCTTACTCCATAGATGCAGATTCTGCCCAAGAAGCCCCTGCATTGCAGAGGGACTGGAGATCTGTATGATCTGTTTATTTCGCAATTGACAAGGGTAAGGGGGCCTTTATGGGGGAGGTGCTTGGGTGCCCTGAATTTAGCTTTATGAAGCTGGGCTAACACTTATTTTGGGAATAAACTAAAATTTCGTATTTTTAAAAACCCTTTTATGAATTGTTTGTCCTACATCAGTTAAGTGTCAGATTATCATATTAAAAAGCATTTATTATAATGGTGATTTTTTTTTTTTTTTAAAGTCCTGTTCAGAACAAGTCAGACAAACATGATTCACGCTTCTAAAATTCCAATCTGGGATCATTTAGAATATAAATAATATTGAATATATGTAAGTAAAATTTCACAACAATGAAAATTTTAAAAGGTTTGGGGTAAACGTCTGTTTCTATAGCCCATCATAGTTATTCTTTATTAATCTGCTCTGTTCCTTTTCCATAAATCTGTCAATCTGTAGAGTGAAAAAGGGACTTGTGGATATGTCATAAACATTGTGGGTGGTTGTGGTGTCTTTTTCTTGCTGCTAGAAATTAATATCTACTTCCTTGAATTCTGTGTCCACCCTAGAGACCAGTGAATTTTGAGTTGTATCGACAGACTGTCCTGTATCTGTTTATTAGTTAGTATAGGTATAAGGTGCAGTTGGTGTATCTTATGGGAGCCAAGGGTTAAGTTCTGTAGGTCTCACTTGGCAAGGTCATAGAAGTGCCAGAAGTCGTGGTATTTGTAACAGGATAGGATTAAAATATTGAGGAAGAGTTTAATGCTCTTTTAAAATTGTGGAAGGATTGGGCAGATGATTGTAGCTTTGCTTGGTAGTTGAGAAGACTTGGTGATGGTCTGATGGGCTTATTTTTATTTTTGAGGACATTATTATACCTAGTAGTAAAATAGCTTTGTTTACCTAAAGAGTATTGTATATTTCTGTAATTTAAATAGATATTTTTAGTATTGTGTCTCTCTCTTACTTGTAAATGGTCTTCTTTAAACATTTTGTTTGCAGATTAAAAAATTCAATAATATGTATATTATCCTTACCACAATTAATAATGTTCCACTTTTAGTGCCAACACACTGGAAAACTATTTTTATTCTTATACTTCTTAAATGACTTTTTTTTTTCTTCTTCTGTTTTCTTTAAGCCATAAGGATGAGTTTACCATTATTCCTGTACTGGTTGGAGCTCTGAGTGAGTCAAAAGAACAGGAATTCGGAAAACTCTTCAGTAAATATCTAGCGGATCCTAGTAATCTCTTTGTGGTTTCTTCTGATTTCTGCCATTGGGGTAAGTTCTAGATGTTAACATATCATGGTAGATATTATATACTTGTGCTTAATGGTATCTTTTCACTGTAAGCTCTGATTTTCTGTTCCTTATCACTTTCCTTGGAGAGTTTTACTTTTAGCCACAATACTTCAAAGTGAATAAAAAAGTCTTTTGGTCATTTAAAAAGGATCAGATTATGATAGTGGGTCATGGATACATTTCCAAAGGCGACTGGTATAATTGGATTCACACTGTGAGGGCATCCTTGCTTAGCTACTTACGATAGTGGGAGTAAAGGTCTTTTAACCCTATTTCCAGGTAGAGTTGTGTGGTAGATTCTCTGAAGTTAGTTTTTTGGTAGATAAAACAAATGTTCTTCTTTAGAAGGTAGGAGAGCGCTTTGTGCTATGCCAGTCCTTTACCACATTTCTTTTTTTGTAATTAGTGTATTTTTTCTGTTTTTCTTTTGGTGCTTAAATTTCTGCTATTAGCTTAGAGCTACCCTACAAAGATTGTAACAGGTTGGCTATTAGCACTGTGGTCTTCATTGGTAATGGTTTATAAGGGTAAGGATTCTGAAGTGATTTTTGTTATTATTGTGAATAAAGAGAGTAAGGAAACTTAACAGTGAATAGATCATAAAGAAAGTGAGACATTTGTGGATGCTTCTTTTAGTAAATTTTGATTTTTGATTTCTTTGGATACAATTTGCTCTCCTTTATCCATTGCTGTTCTGGATTATTTCTGAATCCTGTTCCTTTTAGGACATCTCTCATTGGCTTAAGAATGCCAATATCTATTCATCCTTCAGTTATTTCTTTGATTATAGAGAAAACAGAAGGCACAAGACTATAAATTTTAAGATATAGTACTAGAATGGCCAGAAAAACATCCTCAATGAGATACAGGGAGGCCTGGCTTTTATATGTCTTAAGCATTGATTCCTAGAGTTGACAATATTTATCTGGCCTGGTTAGGCTGATATTTTCTCTTACCTTGCTCTGTGAGTGGTTTTGAGATTTCATTTTAAGAGAACCATCCTCCGTAATGGTATAGATAAGTATTGGGGTTTAAGTCACTGATTTCTCATCTGGGGCTGATTGTCCTCTGAGGGGGCATTTGGAAATGTCTGGAGACATTTTTGGTCATCACAGTGGGGTGGAGGTGGGAAGCGGGGATGCTTTAGGCATCTGCTGAGTAGAGTCCAGAGAAGCTGCTTCATAAACATCCTACAGTACACAGGACAGCCTTCCACATCAAAGAATTATCCTGCCCAAAATGTCAGTAGAGCTGAGGTGGTGAAGCCCAGGTTTAAGGTATGCAGGTAGCTGTACTACCTTGCCAAACTCCCTGAGAGGTTCTCAGGGGTGTTTAGTAATCAGTTCTATTGGCTAGTTTGCTACCTTTGGCAGAAGTTTTTTTTTATGGATTATAAGTATATTACTTAGATCTGAGGGCTAGGTATTTGCTTAAAAAGAGTTCTTTTCTTAGAAATTCTGAAGTTTAGTCATAGCTGATCTTAAAAACTAAGGTATATCATTATTGAAAAAAGGGCTCTTTTTCTTAGTATTCTGAATTTACATTGGTAGTAAAGCATGTCCGTATGTTTTAGAAATTAAAAATTCTTAAAAAAAATTTTTTTATTATTTATATTTTGAGAGACAGAGCTTGAGGAGGGAAGGGGCAGAGAGACAGAGAGAGACAAAGAGAGTCACAGACTCCAAAGCAGGCTCCAGGTTCTGAGCTGTCAGCACAGAACCTGATGTGGGGCTCGAACCCATGAACTGTGAGATCATGACCTGAACTGAAGTCGGACGCTTAACCTACTGAGCCACCCAGGTGCCCCAGAAATTAAAAATTCTTAAAGCATGTGACCCGTCCCTCTTCACTTTTAAGACCTCTATGAATCACTTTACTTTTAAGATTTAAGTAGTTAGTTCCCCTGATACTGTTCTTCAGAATTGAAGTTCTCCCTCTAGGTTGGTACCATGTGCACTCACAGCATAAATCCACACAAAAATCAGTATAATGCTATAATAGTGCTCTTCTCTGTAAAATCATCCGTTTCACCTCAATAATGAATTCTAAAGCAAACAAGCCCTAGTTCACTACTATATTTAAGTACGATATTGAGAGAGAGAGAGATGAATTTTGTTTTATACCCTACCTAGGTTTTTAGAAAATTATTTAGGCCGTTTGATCTGTGTTCTAGAAAATTTTGGTATTTAAATTATAAGATAAAATTTCCTGGTGATAATTACAAAAAAGAACCCCAAGTTTCCAAAGATTGGTAGATGTTATGAGAATTATCCAGAAACTAAAACATATTTATGTTTACATTTGGTAGTTAACTAATAGAACTTTTCCAAGTGTTTGTTTTTTTAGTATGACTATCACTAATAATACCCATTAAGTGCTTACTTTGTACTTATGAAAAAAGCACTGTACTAATTCTTATTGGGAAAGTTGATGAAGGTCTGGTGATAAGTGGAAGGTATTGCATGGATACTACTTCAAAATTGGTGTTTCCCTCTATAATTGTAATAGTAACTGTCATTTTTATAAAGTAAGATTTATTTTCTATTTTATGTGCCTAATTGAAGTAATATGAATCATGGGCTAGTTATGGGTTAAAATGTCTCAGAAATTTTCATGTTTCTCAAATTCATGCTCTGGTGGCGTTGGTCATCTTTTCTATATTAATGGATGCTATACTCCCACTTCAAAAAACTAGCTTTTTCTTGTGAAGATATTTCTTAATGGTTTCTTCTTCTTTTTTTCTTTTTTTGTAAAGATACTATATAGATTGCTTTTACTATATCATATTAATGGTAACACTGAATTGTAAATCATTTCATAGGAAGGATTCACTTCCTCAAATACTCAGATTTTCAAAGTATCATTGACTTAAGCTGTCAACACACTGTATATTTCTAAATAGCTGATTTTTGAAAAAAAATTGATTATGGTACAGTTGACAAATTACTCAGATATATACAGTGGAATTTTGTTTTTGTTGAATGGTGGATTAGAGGCCTGGCAGAGACAACAAATTTCATTTCTAGTCATTGTTTATATTATGTCCAGCTTCTGTTAAAAACAAAGCAGGGAATTTGGTGACAGAGACAGTGGGAAACCTGTATGTAATTGGCAGGGTTTTGCCTGGTTGATTTTATTTGTTAGCCAGTGTCCATTACAAGAATGACGTTTTTTTTTCCCAATTGTTTTAAAGATGTTCCATCTCTCAGATCCCATTTAAATTTTATGTGGACTTGAAAATGGCATTAGAGAGAGAAAAAGCAGAAAGACTAAAATATTCTCAAGTGTTTTTTTTGGGGTGGGAAAAACTAAGGGAGAGTGGGAACCTGGATTACATTATGCCCCTTCTTTCTATCCCTTCATTTGAATCCGCACCCTGTCTCCACCCCCCCCCCCCCCCCCAAACCCTCAGCATTTCAATTCTCGCCTTTTATTTTATCGTAAGTCTAATCCACATGGAAATTCATTAGTCAGCCCAATAGAGTGATGTTTCCTAGTAACTCTTTTCATAATCCTACCTCATTTCACCCTTCTTGCTGCTACCAGGGATTGTGGCATAAGTGAAGGACATTTGCTGCTAGTAATTGATTTTTACTCTGGTTAGGTAATGTGAACCCTATACTTTTTCTGATCAAGTTTCTTGTCCTATAAGATGGCTCCATATAAGAGAATTTTGACTGGCCCTATTTTAGTTTTTCTAATTGGTAGAATTTTCATTCTGTTTTCCTAACTTTCAGTTTTGCTCTTCTCTTCTCTCTCTCTCTCTCTCTCTCTCTCTCTCCACACACACACACACACACACACACACAATGTTTGAACTTTTCTGATCGCTCTGAAATTCATATTTTCAAATTTAGATTATTGATAGCTTTCATTAACATTTTTAACTTGTAAGATGTTTCTAAATGAAACTGGATCTAACAGAAATTGAAATTTTTAAAGTTGATTCATTCTTCTATGTAATTTTTCTTTTATGGTGGTTTTAAGTACAAATCAACTTCAGTAAATTTACTTGGTAAATGTTAATGGTAAATTATTAAAATATGAATAAAGTTTACTACAGTCACTTCAGCAATTTTGGATTTTTACATATAAACTTTTATTTGTCTAAGTTTACATAATTTCTCTTTTATAAGTATGTGTCATCTATTAAAAGTGGCATTCCCTTAAATATTTATGATTTTATATCTTAGTTCAGATTTCTACTTTAATATATATTAACGAGTGATTATTCATGCATGCTCTTTTTCCTTTCTGTTGTCAGTCTCTTAGGAGTATACTAGGGTATTACTATTTTCTAAATATTGAAATTGGTTTGAGTATAACTTAGCTAATTTCTGAAATACATCTTATCGAAGCTTTCATATTCGTCTTCTCAAATTTCCTACATCCTAATTTGACATATTTAAGTTTTTGATTTTTTGCAAGTATGAGAGAAGACTTTATTTTTACATTATAACTAAGACTTCAGAATGTAAGGACTATAGTTTTTTATGATTTCAATTATGAATGTCCCCAGTTTAGGCCCTTAGTATAGAATGAATGGCCTCATAGTCTATCTCACAAGTTGTTGTGAGGTTAACTCAAATAATTGAAAATATTTTAATATATAAACATAAAGTGACTAAGTGAATGTATAATAGTACAGTTTTTACTGGACATATGTCTGAAAGTCTGTCTTGTTGACTAATCTTTTGGGAGGTTTATTGATCAACTTTCCAAGCTCATTGTTTATTTCTACAATCCAGTGTATAGCTTAATGTTGAGGTATTTGATATTTTTTTACTTTTTGTTTTGAGGTACTTAAAAAGTAGTGTTGGTTCTTGTACCATTCATTGTTATGTTTGTCCTCATTAGTTGATTGTTGTGTGTTAAACAGACATCCCTGGAGCTTACTCTCCACACTCTGTGAATCCACTCATTAATCACCAGTCACCTTTGGAGATGGGAAAATTACTTACCTGTATTTCTTTTTCTCAGAAAGCGTGCTCTGGAATGGATTCACAAATGAGCTACCCTCCTTCCCTCAAAGAGTAAGGTTTCTGCTTTACAGGATTTTTTTTCTTGGGTTATTTTTCCTCTCATCTTTTGAATTTGAAAAGAACTGAGGGAAGGCACCTGAAGAAACTACTGACATACTCACTAGGGGAGTTCCAAAGCTTGTGCTGCCCCTAGGGGCAGTGTCAATGGCTCTTAAAGCTAGAAAGCTCATACTTGGAGTTGAAACAGGGGCTCAAAGAATCCATTTTCCCAGTGTACCTTCTGAAAGGATAAGTTTCAGGTAAGTAATTTTCTCTTACTATGTGATATGCTTTATTCATACTTATAAAAATATGCAAGTCCACTTCTCCAGGTACATAGGCAACTGTATTTACTCAGTTTAGATGCATAAGCTTTACTGAATGTTAGAAGGATTATAAAACAAATGTCTGATCATGAGTTATATGAAATCATAATATATTTTAAATCAATAAATATTTGATTAAAGGTGCATTTGATAAACAGTGCATTGTGCTAGTGTTGTCATGTCTCTTATTTCTCACTAAATAAAATCTGGATAAACTTTTTAATAATTAAATACAAAAGTGTTTTTTTTTTTTTTTTTTTTTTTTTTTGCATTCAAATTCCAAGAGGTGTGTAGCTAAAGTGTGTGCATGCATGAGCGCGTGTACACCAACCCACACCTATATACACATGTAGGCTAGGATGATGTAAACTATTTACTTCAGATTAGATGTTTTCTGTGTGTGTAGTGACCAGAATGAATTACTCAAGTAATTTTTAAATGCTTGTACAATTTTTAAAAATTATTGTGAAGACAGTTTGAGCTGTTTAAGTAAGGTATTTTTTCAGTGTAGTAGCTATATGTAGTGTGGATTTAGCTACTTAGTCAATATATTATTTAGAGCTCATAAGTATTTCTACTCAATTCTTCAGCTACAAAATGCAAGGTAGCTACCTAAAGAGTAGCAAGAGGTAGATAGCAAAATGTTAGAAACATTTGCTCATCAATCTTCTGTGTATTTTGTCCTTCTTTTTAAATCACATGCTGATTTAATATTTTAAAACATTTGAAACATTTGCTGTATTTTTCTCTTCAGAAGTAGCTTTTAAGTGAATGTTACATTGAAAACTGTCCATACGAACAAGGCAGCATTTTCAAGTAGTTACCCTTTTCACTTATGATTAAGGCAGGTTTGACCAACTTCATTCATTTGAAATGGCAGCTCCGAACTTGGAAATACGCAGAAAAGACTTTTCAGTAGCAAATGGTTATCACAAAGTCCATGCATTTTACTCTGCACCTGAAGAGTAGTAGTTTTCAGATTAGATAATTGTGTCCCAGTCACAGGGTTTATTGACAGCTAAAACTAATAGCTATTTCCTGAAGCAAGAAAAAGAATACATTAGTATAAACCTGAAGCAGTTCAAGTTCGAAGAATATTCACTGTGATTGCTTCCAAGGATATTACTTTTACTATAGTTGACAGTGAGTCAGAATTTTCTTGTCTAAGATTATTCATTTAATTGTTCATTCATTTCACAAATGATTTGGCATAACTCTATCAAAACAACTTTGAAATAGAAGTAGAAATTTCGTACTAATGAATTGAATCAATGAGTTATTGGGACAGGCTTAAGATTTGTCTTTGAGCCTTCCAATAGCCACCTGGAAAATAGGAAAAATAGGGTTATAGAGTTCTCATTATTAGGTAGGAGAAAGTACGTACATTCTGTAAAGAAAAACAAAACTAAGCCTAACTCTAAATTTTGAAAGAAATGTATGATGAGTTGTTTAACAGAGGGGCATTGAGTGATGAATTGTCACTATGTAAGAATTTTTTCAGTGTAAGGACTGTAATGGATCTCATAGTTATGGCAACATTTAGTAATCTTCAGTGTTTACAAAAAAAGTTATTGTATCCAGAAAGCAGATAATCATCTTAGAATCCTATTGCTGATTCTAGGATACCATGAATTATAAGATGCAATACTGATTTAATAGAAGCTCTTGAGGGAAAGTAAGAACTGTTACATTGAGTAATTGTACATAGTAATGTATGTGAAAAGCTAAAATATAAAAGTTAAGGAAATACAGTATATTATAGAAAGATGACCATCAAATATGACCAACATCAACATGTAAAGGAAGTGTTGAGAACTATGATGTGTAGTTTTTTTTTTTCCAAAAAAGAGCATCAAAGAAGTTTTTTTATTTTCCGTTGCTCGTCATTTATAGTAAGATTAAACAGAAAACTTAGAAATCATAATTATCCAGCTGGAGAAACCCATCTTCTCGGGTGTGAAGATAATAATTGTATATGTGAACTTTGCTGTAAAAATGAAGCTACAAGACACATAGTGTGTGCATACATGACTGGTATACTCTAATACTTTTTAAGTGCATTGATGGATCTTTAAAAATGACTAAATACAAAAGTAATGAGTTCCTACATAGGCATCACAGAAATAAATACAAGTGTAGATGTATCTGAAATACAACATAATCAGTGGAATAAGATAACCGCAATTAGTTATGAATATATTTAACTTTTGGTTTTTATGTAACTATAGTAGGAAGCAAAATGTATTACCTGAGCCTTTTGTTTTCTGTCTTCTTTTCAAGCTTCTTCCATTTTACCCTCTCTTTCTTGGAGAAGAGCTAAACGTTGAATGTTCTGTGCTTGTACTCTTACTGAGATTTTGTCAGAGTAGGACTATTTATTATATTTATTCTTTTGTGCCTCCTATTTTAAGGCACCTGTATTGCTTTTTCAAGTAGAGAGTTTTGCAAAAATGAGATAAAATTTTTTATTGAGGTCATAAAAATCACATAAGCCATGTGTTTCTCTGACCTGCAATTTTTTTTTTTCTGTAATAGAGATCAAATCTTTGTACTTATCCAGCAAAAGCTAAGCTTCCATTGATTTGTTACATTGAGATAGTTTTCTTAAACCAAATTTCCTGGAATCGTATTCTTTGGGTTTACCTTCCGTTACAGACTGATACAATATGTTTAACATTGCTTCTAACTTTTAAGCTGTTTTGTTTCCTTAGTCTTTTGTATTGCTCGTCACTTTAAGGTTCTACAGTTTGAAATAGTTTTTAACATCATAAAACACTGTTGATATATCATTTCTTTATCACCTTCCCAATATGCCTTTTATTTTTATGTACAAGGGCTCTTGGGAATGATTCTCTCAGAGGCTTAAGCTGTGCTTTGCCCTCCATGAGAACTGAAATTATTTGGTAAGCGCTTGCTTTCTTTTTAGCTTCTAATTTTTCCCTATTTTATTTTGTACATGATATTTGTTTCAAGGTCAAAGGTTCCGTTACAGTTACTATGATGAATCCCAGGGGGAGATTTATAGATCCATTGAACATCTAGATAAAATGGTAAGTCTTTCAGGTGTGGGTTTTAATGCTCTAAGGTGTTTTCTTTCATTTCAGTTTAGTGATTCAAGACTTAATATGTTGAATTATACAGTGGACTAATAATTCTTTCCCTACCTACCTAACTAAATGTGCAAAATATAGTTTATCATCATATGAATATTGATTATAAAAATAATCCCTTTTCTATTAGTTGAAATTTCCTTTATCTTTTTTTGATTAATGAGACTAAGAATAATTAGATTTGGATTTTAGATGCTATTTGGGGGAGTGTCTCAGGTTTAGGGAAGACAGGATACTAATGCCATTACTTATTTTTAAGCAGAAACAACCACAGCAAATTCTTAGTTTATTTTATTATTTAATTGTATCTTTTGGCCATTTGGATTTTCTGAAATGGTGTTTCATTTTGTTGTTTTATATATAGAATTTAAAAATATGATTGTATTCTTACATGGCCCAGAACTACAGTAGACATTGATCTTGCTGTCATTTTCCTTGAAGTAGTACAGTAGTCATAGTACTTGTTTTCATATTTAAAAAGTCATACAAATAATTTTGTTGTTTTTTTTTTTTTTACCTAAAATAGAATATTAAATATAGCAGATATCTCACTGATTGGAACAGAATATTAAATATAGCAGATACATCATTAATTTGAACAGAATACTAAATATAGATGAATCTCTAATTTGAACAGAATATTAAATATAGCAGATAAATCACTAATTTGCTCTGACTTTTGACATAATTTTAGTTCCCTAGTCCTCAATTTGTCATCTCTAAGATAAGAGACTTGGAGTAGGTGGTCTCTAAATTGTCTTTAAACTCCATCAGACTTTAAGCCTGTGATCTGTTAAAATCAACTTTACCCCTGTTTGAAAAGCCTTATGCATATGTTTTAGTACAAGAATATTTAGTCTAAAGTAGATAAAACATTTTAGTAAAGAATCTGGATCTAAAACTATAGCTGGGCTATTATCTTGTATATTTTATTAAAGGCAAAATGGAATGAATGCAAATTTAGTTACTTAGGAGATTTTATCATATTTAAATTTATCTTGTTACTTAGATCCAATTATGTCTGAACACTTTTGCTTTGGAATTTTGTTTGGATTTTAATCTACTGACTTTTTTTTTGCCTTTATGATGTTGTCGTTTCAGTTAATTCTTTTCTGGCTTCTCCTTCTGATCTTATTCTTCTGAGGCTTAGTGCTCACTTGCCTCAGAAAACTTTTCTGGTTCTGTTGTCATTTATTTTTTTCATGTAGCAAGTGGTTAATGGGTGTCTAATGCGTGTCTGGTACTGTGTGAAGTATTGCAGATGTTAAGAAGAGAAAACATTGTCTCCCACTTCATGGAACTTACAGTGTAGTCATTGAACAGACTTAGAAGCTATTATGGTGTAGAGATGTAAGAGATATTTAGGACACACACTCTCCTTATTGTTCCATGAAAATGACATACGTGTGCCTAGCTTAGGACTTTTGCCCTTTCTACACTTGACTGTCTCACTTACTCTGTGGCTTTGCTCTGCTTCACCTTCCCAATGGTACTGGCTGCCCTGTTTAATTTTGCATCATACCCATTTAGCATTCCCAATCCACTTAACCCTGCTGCAGTTTTTCTTTCAACAAACTAAATATTGTACTTATCACAGTTTTGTTAGGAAATTTATTTTGTTCTCTGACGTATCCAAAGTGCTTAGAGTCATGAGTAGAACATTAGTAGGTGCTCAATAAATATTTTTCAAGTGAATGAATTAGTGAATATAATTTTCCTCCGTACATAATTAAATTAAGCAAATTCCCTAACTGTAATATGAAAAAGAAATAAAGGGAAAGTAATTTATGATAAACTAGTATATTTTTTAATAGTGTAAGCACCCAGATGCCAACTATGTTAGGAGACATTATGAAGTAGTTAAATGCTTCCACATTGTATCATTAATATAAGAGCTACCAATCCAGACCTAAACAGTTATTTTATATTTGTGACTCACATTACTAAGCTGTGTTGCAGGGTGACTCGATTTCCCAAAATGGTGAATAATTCTTAGTAAAGTTGTAACCTAAACAAAATATAGCCTTCCCTCAGTTTACGTGATATGGAAATTCCTGGCGAATCTACTGTATATTAAAACCAGGCAAAACTTCTTAGTATTTATATATAAAATAGGGTTAAGGGTATAAAGAATTATACATGATTGTTTCATCTATGTGGACATGTCAGAGTGCTTTGGGATGAGAACAGTTATTTGTGTGGAGGACAGTCCTGTGTTAGAGGACAATCAGCATCCTTGGACCCCACTCACTAAATTCCCCAGTAGCGTCTTCTAATTATTGGGACTTCGCAAAAATGTGCCCACAACTTTCCATTACGTCCCTATGGTAAACCGTCCTTCTATGACCCTACCCTACCTAAGTTTTCTTCTCAATATTAATTACTGTGTGACTTGTTATTTGTTGATTTGTTTGGTGATACCCTTCCCTATTAGGTTATAAGCTTTATGAGATCAGGATCTTTGTCCATTTTTTTTTCAGCCTTTCACTGGGTACTAAATATATATAGTTATTGAGTGAATCAATGGAAGAATGGACAGGGTAGCGGTGAGAAATGAAGCTAGAGAATCTGGAGCAGGCTGTTTAAGGGGTATTAAATAGGAAAGTGATAAAATCAGATTGTATTTGAATAGATCACATAGCTGCTATGTAGGCAGCAAGTAGGCTGGTGGGAGGTCAGAAGAGAAATCAGTAGACCAGTTTGGTAATCCAGGTGACAGATGGTAATTTAGACAGTGGATAGGGTGGTGATGGTGGAAGAGAGGGACAGAGTGGATATATTCAGTGTATTTAAGAGATAGATTGATGATAGGACTTGGAGATTGCTTGAACTTGCTGAGGAAGGAAGTATCAAGGATAGCTTCTAAATTTCTGACTTATGCTGCTGGTTGGGTGTTGGTACTATTCACTTAGGTTTAAAGCACAAGAAGATAGGACTGATGTTTTAGGAAGTAGGGAAATCATAAATCCCATTAAGGATGTGTTATATTTGCTGTTGCCTTTAAGATATCCAAGTGGACATGTCAGTCAGGTAGGCATTTGGATTTTCATTTTGCTAGTTATTTTTGAGTGCACTTACAGTCCTAGGCACTGTTGGAGATATGGCAGTAAACACACTTGCTCTCACAGAACTTTTTTTCTAACAGGAGGATATATATATATATCCTCCTGTATATATATATATTATAAAGGTAAAGGTATGTATAAGTTAGTTTCCAATAGTGATATGTGCTATACAGAATATATAGAAAGGGTTTTGAAATGGTACATGATTTGAGTGATTGGTGACTGAGTGATTGTAGAAATACTTCCCTGAGGAGAGACATTAAGCTGAGATAGTGATGGTAAGAAGGAGCAAACCAAATTCAGATCTGAGGAGTGAGCATTCTTGACAGAGGGAACTGCCCGTGCAAAGATGGGAAAGAGGCTGGTGTGTGAAGAAAAGGAAAAAAAGGACAGTGTTGCAGGAGTGCAGTAGGTAAGGCTAAGAATGGTACAAGCTGTGGCAGGAGGGACAGACAGAGAGCAGATAATGGAGGACTTTATATTCTAGGGTAAGAAATGTATGTAAGTACAAGGGGAAGTGAAAATGATGTAATCACATTCTTTTAAAGGTTATTCTGGTGGTTGTGTAGAGGATGGATTCTACATAAGGTTCAAGAGTAGTAATGATGGACATGGGCAGTAGTTGAGGGGAGAGATGATAGTAACTTGGACTAGGGTGGTATAAGTGGATATGGAAAGAAGTTGGTAGATTTGAGATCTCTTTCAGAAATATTAAACAGAGCTTTGCTAAGGAATTAACTATATTGGCTTGAAGCCCAGAGAATAGGCCTGGAGTAAGTTTGAGAGTTCTAACAGGTAGATGGTAATCAGAGCCAGACCAGAGGTAAGATTGTCTACTATAGTAATCCTTAACCTTGTCTTTGTAACCTAAATCATCCATGGAACTTTTTCAAAATAGACTTGCCCATACCTGCCCCAGGAGATCGCCTTTTGGTAGTATGGAAAGAGTCCTAACATCATTTTACTCCTAAATTTGCTTTGTTAGGTGAATTTAAACTGTCTTACTATAGCCCCTAATCTGTTTAAGTAGAACAAAATTTCCTATTTATCTGTCTTCCCTTGTTTTCTATTCAGCTCTTTAAATCATTAGTCAACTTTAATTAAGCAACATTTAATTTTGCACAGGTAAGAATTTGTGAATCCATGAATTGATGCTTTTAGCACAGAGAGATGTTCTCCCCAACATATTAGTTTACCCGGTGCTCTGAAGTCACCAAACATAGTGCCATTCTTTGGAACTCTCTAGAACTGTGGTCACATTTAAAAACTTTAATATTATTTATTATTCTATGTGTGTGTGTATATATATATATATATGTATATATATTTATATATAAATATCTGTACTTAATTCTTTTAGTCTTTTTTTTTTTTTAATTTTTTAAATGTTTTAATTTTATTTTTTGAGACAGAGAGAGACAGAGCATGAACGAGGGAGGGTCAGAGAGAGAGGGAGACACAGAATCTGAAGCAGGCTCCAGGCTCTGAGCTGTCGGCACAGAGCCTGATGTGGGGCTTGAACTCACAGACTGTGAGATTGTGACCTGAGCTGAAGTCGGACGCTTAACTGGCAGAGCCACCCAGGCGCCCCAATTCTTTTAGTCTTCTAATTCTATATTGATTGTTAGCTATTATTAAGAGAAGTAGCTTTGTTTATCTTTCTTGATGTATATTATCAGTTAGGCAGATAAACCTTGGTTTCTTACTTTGAGGCAGAGCAAAAAGAGTAACATTTATCTGTTGGCATCATTCTCATAATTCTCCTGAAATTGTTGCCTTTTCTGGTAGCTTCTAAGTCTTTGAAATTAGAACTTTTGTTCAAAAGTATGTGTAGAACCAGTAAGCTTAAGATTGGCTTCTAAGTCTGCATCCGAT